CCCCGCCTATTCTTTTCTAAGAGTGCTCTAATGGCTCTGTGGGTCTGTGCCTCTGCAGCTGCTGCTGCTGGGCTGCTTGCCGCCGGCCGCTCGGGCACGAGCAGCGTGCTGCTGCTGCTGCAGTGCAGCGCTGCCGCTGCTGCTGCTGCTGTCTCTCCTGCTGCAACACGCTGCAGCGTGCTGCTCTCATTTGCTTTGCAAGTTGCTTGAGGAAGAGGCCTTTGGGAGTAGAATTGAGTAGGGTTTTGTGCTGCAGCTCTCTTTGACTGCTGCAAGAAGGCCTGGAGGGGGGAAGGCGTGTCTGTTTCTGCCTGCTTCTGGTTCCAAAAGTGGAATATTAGGAATTAAAAAGTAATTTCATTTTTGAAAGTTTCTTATTCGGGGAAAATGAAAAGACGGAGGGGCTCCAGGGCTGCGGGCAGCCAAGGCTTTCGCAGGTGAAGTCCAGTGGGCCACCCCGGCTTGGGTGCAGGTGTTGGCTGGGTTGGCCTGGGAAGAATATGAAAAGGTCTTTGCTGAAGAGAAAACAATTATAAATATAAATTGAAATGAATTAAATAATTGTTTCTTCGCGTCTGCAGAACAAAAGAACTCAACTTGGGCGGTCCGACGGTCTTGCTGGGCAACCAGCCGCGGCCGAGCAGCTGCAGTCACGATAGAGATCCAGCAGCAGCCCTGTAGACTTTTCTTGTTCTTGAAATGCTTCTGGACTCTATCTTTCTTTTTTGGATTTATCGCAAGAGTTTTTTCTAGATGTAAGTTTCCGTTTCGCGCAGTGTTCCTTTCCCTCTTCGCTGCTACCGCTGCCGACGGACTGCCGCCGACCGGGTGGCTGCTGCTCGCGCCTCTGCTGCTGGCTTCTTCTCGCTCAATTTTCGAAATTAAAGGTTTAAATGATTTATTTGGGGGATTTTCCGGGCAAATATTGCGCTAGTTCGGCGCGAAAGAGGCGGGAAAAGCCGTTCTGGCCGCGCGTCGCTGCTGGTGGCTGAGCGCTGCGCGCGTGGGCAGTTTGCTGCTGCTTTGCGCGTTCTTGCGCGGCATTCTCCCGCGTTTGAGTTTTAAGGATTTGTACAAGTTTGAATTGTTAAAGATTAGCGCATTCCGGAGTCCGTAGGCCTCCTGGAGCCGCGAGCGCTTGCTGCTCCGCCGCCGCGGCGGCTGCCGCCGCCGCCTTCCCCCCTCCGCTGCTGCTGCTGCGGCTGCTGCAGCGGCCGCGTGTGCGTGGGTGTGTGCTGCAGCAGCTCGCGCGTCGGGGGCAGCAGGAAAATGTTCAGCCTGGGCGTGGACGGGGACGACGCCGTGGTGGAGCAGCACGCCGTGTCGCGGCAGCTCTCGCAGTTCCAAGACCGCATCATGCAGGAAGACGAAGAGCCCTCGCCGCGGGGCGAAGAGCACACGCCGTTGATAGCTTTCTTGACGACGAAGTTGCTGCGGACTTCGTTTACCCTCAAGGCCCTTTCTATGGCGTTGATGTCTTTGTTTTTTTTGGGCTTCGGCGGCCGCTGGGTCTTCACCTTCCACTCCCACCCCGACATGTCCAACGGCTTCCACCTGTCCATGGCCCTGCTGATGCTGCTGCAGCTCGCGGGCACTCTGGGCCTTTGCCTCTTCCAGGCCTTCGTCGCAGACGACTCCAAGTAAACCCTAAACCCTAAACCCTCGTTGGGCTTCGCTGCAAGCGCTGCGGCGCGGGCTCGAGCTGCTCCGCGGCGCCCGAAACCCAGAAATTCGCCCGCAGCCGGGGGCCCCCACGTCTCTTCCCTTTGTACTTCTAGAATTAATTGAAATTGAAATGTAAATGTGTTGGAATGTGCACTCAAATGCAATCGTAAATGTGTTCTTTTGGCTCCTTTTGTTCGCGTACATGCGCCAGTTGGGCAGTAAGTACAGCCGGCCACGGGCTCTGCGGTGTATGTACAGGTGGACCAAGGGGTTCCGGACGGGCAGCAAAATCCTCTCTGCTGCTGTCACTCTGGACTTGTTGACAGTGATGCTTCGTCTTGGAGAATACTTGTATCTTTACAACAGCCTGAGCACTTTGTGGTGGTCCAAGTTCAACATCACCAAGTCCGACTGGGTGATCTTCGCTGCAGCAAACTTGCTGGACTCCATAGCTCTCATCTCTTACGGCTGGGCTCTCTTCTACATTGAGTGTTACCACGACGAAGGCACTTCGGAAGAAGTCGCCTGGACCATGTTGGCGCTCTTCTCCCTCGCGGGCCTCTCCAGTGAGCACTTCAGCAGCACTTAAATGGCAATACAACACTAATAAGCACTTAATTATTTATTATTAATCATTTTATATGCACGTTTTCCCGCTAAGCCGAGCTCAAGTGGCCCCCTGCGCACCCCCAGCCTGAACAAACACCTGTCTATACACCGCGCGGGGGCTAGTGGCAACCCCGCGTTTGGAGTGTACAGGCCGCCTAAATGCAGCCACAAACTGCTCCATTATTGAAAATAAAAGGAAAATTAGAATAACTGGACATGAAGAGTCCTTTAAATTGAGTTTCAAGCACTGTTGTGCACCGAAACCCTGCGAACTTGTGCGTGCGGCCGCAGTGCTGATAATGATGTTCACGGGCTACGGCGCTGTGTTCATGCTGCTGTTCACGGCGGGGGCCTACGCTGTGTCTTGTTACTGGTCCTTTATGTTTGAGCCGCTGCTGCTGAAGTGGGCCCCGCAGCTGCACTCGCGGGACATCAACACGGACATAATGCCCACGGACTCGAAGCCGCAGCAGCAGAGCCAGTACCAGCCAGCAGCAGAGTTCGCCCCCGAGCAGCAGCAGCAGCCCCACTTCATCAACACCCAGTCCTTTTCTTCTATGCCCGGCGCAGTCCAGGCAACAGCAGACATCCCCACGCAGTACGACTACGCCCAGCTGCAGCAGCAAGTCTCTCAGGGGATAGAGATGGGAGTTGTCAACCCCTCTTACCAGTAGTGGCCTTTCGTGCAGCCAAATCGGCCCCACAGGCAGCCACCCAAAGGAGACCCCGGGGGCCCCCAGGGGGCCCCCGGTCTCAGCCGCGGGCCCCACGGCTCAGCGCCCTCGCCACGGTCGCAGGGGGCCCCCAGGGGGCCCCCTGGGTCTGCTGCTTGGCCCTTTTTGTGGATTTAGAGCCGCTGAGCTTGACTCAGCGGAAGTAGCTCAGCCCCGCCTCTTGCCTTAGCTGGAGGAGCGCAGAGCTGCTTTTAGTGAATACTTTAGGTGGACATACACCGCAACATCGCACAACGTTGGCAACTACTCCTTTATTTAATGCCGCTGCTAAGGCCCTGCTGCTCGCATGCGCCTTCGGGCTGCAGCCTGCGCTAGTTTGCTGCTGCCACATAACGCAGTATCTTCCTGCCAGCTGCTGCAGCAGGTCAGGGCCCCTAGTGTAGATCTGGGTCTTTTTTAGTACCTTTCGGCTGAAAATGCGGGGCCAGGGGCCCCTAGTTTGACACAGAAAGTCAGTTGCCCTGGGGCCCCCAGTAGGCGGGGCCTCTAACTGCCCCCAGCCTCGGGAACAGCGGCAACAAAGTGCTGCGCTGCTCCAGTCTGCTGCTGCAGCGCAGCAGCAGCAGCAGGGCCTCGCCCCACTAATTTGGCAGCCCTAGGCCTTCTCCGGAGGGGCAACTGCCGCGGCCTGCAGCACAGGCAAAAGTGTGTGCATCCGTAGACATGGAAGGGCAGCGCTGCTGCTGCTGCTGCAGCTGAGTGCAGCAGAGCTGCTGCTGCTAAGTGCAGCAGACTGCAGCAGCAGACCCACCAGAATTTCAATGCCTCTCTCCAGAGAAGTCGATCCCGAAGCCACTAAATCCCCCAACAAAGAAGAGCCCCCCACGCCATCTCTGCTCAGCATGGCGTGCTTAACTAGCCTGAGTCGCACACGGCCATGGAGGCGCATGCATGCAAACTGCTGCTGCTGCTGCTGCTGCTGCAGCTGCTGCAGCGGGGCCCCTGTGGGGGCTGCTGAGGCCTCGGGAGGCTGAGTTGTTTCCTGGATGCCTGCGTACCTGATGCTCTCTGGCTGCGTGAGGAGCTCGCGCCAGTCCGTTTGCTTTTGCTGCTGCTGCTGCTGCTGCTGCTCCGGGGGCTTTCCCGTGGCTTCTTGCTGCAGTCTTTGGGGGTCTTCCTCCTCCTCCCCAGGAGCCGCAGCAGCAAACGGCAGCAGCTGAGTGCCCTCGCGGGCGTAGTGCCGCGCAGCCTCCACCTGCACAAACTCTAGAGAGTCTAGAAACCCTGCGGGGCTCAAGTCATCGGGGTTGCGAGTAGCTGCTGCAACAGTTTGAGTGGCTTCTGCTGCCACCAGGTGCAGCGCGTGGGGCTTTGCTGCGGGCTGCTTGCTGCTGTCGCCTTGGGCATCTGCTGCTGCTGCTGCTGCTGCTGCG